CTTCAGTCAGTCTCTCCCATAAGGAAGCTTCCATAAGCCTCTTATCCTTCTCCATCAGAGGGCAGATAGAATGAAAACCACAATCACAGAAAACTAACCAATCTGATCACATGGACCACAGCCTTGTCTAACTCAAGGAAACNACAGTTAGAACTGGACATGGAACAACAGACTAGCTCCAATTTGGGAAAGGAATACTTCAAGGTTGTATATTGTCATCCTGCTTATTTAACTTATATGCAGAGTATATCATGAGAAATGCTGGGCTGTATGAAGCACAAACTGGAAGCAAGATTCCCAGGAGAAATATCAATAACCTCAGATATGTAGATGACACAGCCCCTATGGCAGAAAATGAAGAACTGAAGAGCCTCTTGATGAAAGTGAAAGAGGAGAGTAAAAAAGTTGGCTTAAAACTCAACATTCAGGAAACAAAGACCATGGCATCCGGTCTCATCACTTCATGGCAAACAGATGTGGAAACAATGGAAACAGTGAGAAACTTTATCTTTTGGGGCTCCAAAATCACTGCAGATGGTGACTACAGCCATGAAATTAAAAGACACTTGCTCCTTGGAAGAAAAGTGATGACCAACCTAGACAGCATATTAAAAAGCAGAGACATTACTTTGCCAACAAAGATCCATCTAGTCAAAGCTATGATTTTTCCAGCAGACACGTATGGATGTGAGAACTGGACTATAAAGAAAGCTGAGCACTGAAGAATTGATGCTTTTGAACTGTGGTGTCGGAGAAGACTCTTGAGAGTCCCTTGGACTACATGGAGATCCAACCAGTCCATCCTAGAGGTAATCAGTCCTGACTACTCATTGGAAGGACTGATGCCTAAGCTGAAACTCCAATACTTTGGCCACCTGATGCAAAGTACTGACTCATTTGAAAAGACCCTGCTGGGAAAGATTGAAGGTGGGAGGAGAAGGGGACGACAGAGGATGAGATGGTTGGATGGCATCACTGACTCAATGGACATGAGTTTGAGTAAGCTACAGGAGTTGGTGATGGACAGGGAGGCCTGGTGTGCTGCAGTCCATGGGGTTGCAAAGATTCGGACACTGACTGAGCGACTGAACTGAACTGAAGGGTAAGAAAGGTGTATGGCTACAGAAATATCAAAGTAGACTTCAGGAAGAATACTGTCAGAAATACAAAGGGGAAATTCATAATGATCAAAGGTTCAAATTCATAAAGACATAATCTTTATGCACACACACATATATATTCACCCAATAAAAATGATCCCAAACAAATAAAACAAAATTAGCAAAACTAAAGAGGAAAACACAAATCCACAATCACAGTTGAAGACGTTATGTCCTTCTCTCAGAAAATGATAAAAATTGTCCAAAAAATATTAATAAGGATATAAAGTATTTGAATACTATCAATTTGATCTAACAGACATTTATAGAACACTATATTCAATAAAAGCCAAATACATATTTTTCAAGGGCATGGGAATATTCACTAAGATAGATCATATGCTAGGCCATAAAATGTTTTAATTAACATAAAGGAATGAAATCATACCAAATGTATTTTCTAATCACAACAGAATTATATTAGAAATCAATAATAGTTCTGAATATTTTCCAATGTCTAGAAATTAAACAGTGTACTTCCTAGTAGCCCATAGGTCAAAGAAAACTATTATAGGAGAAACTTTTATATAATTTGAGTATACACATATCGCAATTTGTAGAATGCAGTTAAAGCAGTTTTCCTAACTTAGAGTGAAATTTATAGCTTTAAGTGACTATGTTAAGATTGTAAGAAGACAGGTGTACTTTCAATGATGAATGGCTCCACATTAATAAACCAGGAAAATAAAAGCAAATAAGTAGAAGAAAGGATATTACAAAATTAAAAACAGAAATCAAGTGAAGAGAAATGAATAAATGATACAAAAATGTCAACAAAGTAAAAGTTTGTTCTTCACAAACAAGATTAAAGAAATACAAAAAGCTCTAGTGAGCCTCATCAGGAAAAAATAAATAGAAAACACAAATTACCAATATAAAGAATCAAAGGGAAAACATAACTACATAATTTATAGCAGTAAAGGACTAATAAGGAAACAGTATGAACATTTTGGAGTGGGTTGCCATTTGCTTCTCCAGGAGATCTTCCCAACCCAGGGATCAAACCTGGGTCTCCCGCATTGCAGGCAGACTCTCGACCCTCTGAGCCACCAAGGACGCCCTGAAGTATGTTAGACTTCTTAAATGAAATGGACAAATTCTTGAAAAAATGTAATTCACTTATGTTGACAAAACAGAAAATAGAAACTCTAAACAGCCCTATAGCCTCTAAAAATAAACACATAACTGCAAAATTTCCCACAAAGAGAAGTTCAGACCCAGTTTAATTCCCGAGTAAATTATATTAAACTTTTAAATAATTAACAATAGCAATCTTACACAAACTTTTTCAGAAAAGAGAGAAAATGGAGTCATTTCCCAATTATTTTTGGAGCTGGAATAACCATACTAAATGTAAACACTGAGGCTTCTGTGGTGGCTTAGATGGTACATGCAAGCAATCTAAATTAACCAAAATAAAATTTAAAAGTAGAATAAGATTATTTAACTTTATGTGACTTAAGTAGTACCTACTTGTGAACCTATAGTAATCCAGACAAAAGTATTAGTAAAAGGATAAACAAATATATTAAACAGAATATAGTCCAAAAATAGATTCATCTTGCCAAGACAATCCAATGGAGAGAGGAAAATCTTTTCAACAAATGATGAACACTGGATATCCTTACTGAGGGAAAACCAAAAACATGACTTCCTATATCACAGGACACACAATTCCCGGGCAGCACAGCAGTAAAGAATCCACCTGCCAATGTAGGAGATGCAAGAGACGCGGATTTAATCTCTGGGTTGGAAAGATCCCCTGGAATAGGAAATGGCAATCCACTCCAGTATTCCTGCCTGAAAAATTCCATGGCCAGAGGAGCCTGGAGGGCTCTAGTTCATGAGGTCGCAAAGAGTTGGACACGACTGAGCACGCATGCATGCGAAGGTAAAAGCAAACTACATATCTTCTAGAAGAAAACATAGGAGATTATTTTCATGATCTTCCTAGAGAAGACACAGAAAGCACTAATCATAAAACAAAAATCTGATAAATTGCAATTCACCAAAACAAAAAACTTCTCCTCAAAAAATACCATTATGAAAATGAGCTGGCAAGCCACAGACTAGGAGAAAATACATACATTTATCTATATACAAGATGAAGGAAACATGTAATTTTTTCAAAGAGACTTCACGAAAAAAAATTATACAAATGGCTAAAATCACATTAAAACTGAGCTTAACACCATCAGTCATGAGAGAAATACAAAACCACAATGAGATATCACTATGAACATAGGAAAACTATGCAGTGCAGTGGTTGTCAATGAGATAGGGAGGTTTGCAATTTTTACAACCAGGAGACATTTTTAGTTGTTACCGGCATCTAGAATGCTGAGAAGCATCCTACAATGCACAGGATAACCCCACAGAAAAATTATCCTGCCCAAAATGTCAATGGTGGCAAAACTGAAAAACTCCTAAGAGATTAATTTAAAGAGACTTAATAGCATCAAATGTTGGGGAAGATGTAGAGCAACCGGAACTCTGGGATACATTACTAGAGGGGATGCAAAAGGTTCATTCACTTTGTTTGACGTTTGACAGATATTACTATACTAAGTGCAAATAACGTCTTGTCAAATTAAATGCCAAATGGCTTACAGGGCCATGCATGATCTAAAGCCAGTGTACTTCTCCAGTCTCATATCTCTGTTAACTGAGGCACAGAATGATACGGTGCTAAAATAATTTTCCAAAACGTTTACTTGATTTTACTGACAGAAATCTTAAAAACCCTGAGACAAAAGAAACCTTAACATCATTTAGCTCAACTTATTACCTAGAGCAGGGATAATAATATATTCTTGACAGTGAAACATCTACTGTCTCACACTGTTATGGCAAAATCTCACAGATCTATCTAATAAAAACTTGAGAAACAACTCATATTATAAAAGTAATGATCCTCTATTCTTTTCGTAAACTGAGTTAACTGGAGGTTATTATAGTTACTGATTTCCTTAAGAAACCTCACAATATAAGCTGAAAAAATTAATATGGTAGTTTAGAAAGATACTATCTCTTTATAAACACCACAACCCATTTCACAAAGGAATGAAATCAGTGAAAAACAAGTCTTTAACTGGCCTAAATCAGTATTATTCAATAAAGATATAATGTAAACTATAAATGCAAGCCATATATGCAATGTTTACAAAGCAGATTGATGAAGTAAATTTTGATAATACATTTAGGGTATATGCGACCCTATGAACTGTAGTCTGCCAGGCTCCTCTGTCCATGGAATTCTCCAGGCAAGAATACTGGAGTGGACTGCCATTCCCTTCTTCAGGGGATCTTCCCAACCCAGGGATCAAATCTAGGTCTCCTGCCTTGCAGGATGATTCTTTACCATCTGAGCCACCAGGGAAGCCTGGCAATTTTGATAGTATGTTTACTGTATATGTATAAAATATGTAAAACAGCCAATATATCCAAAACATTATCACTTCAGTATTAAATAAACATAAAAATTTTAGATTATTTTATATTCTTTTTCTGTACTAAGCCTCCAAAACCCAATGTCTGTTTTATTCTTATAGCACACCTCATTTCTGACTAGCCAAATTTCAGGTGCATAATAGCCACACGTAGCTAGTGTTTACTGGATGCTAATGTTGCTTACTACATGACACACTTCAAGGAAATTCACACGGATTATTTCATTTAATACTCCCTGAGGTTGCTCAGTGGTAAAGAATCTGTCTGCCAATGCAGGAGATGCAGGTTTGATCCGTGGGCACGGAAGATACCCTGGAGAAGGAAACGGCAACCCACTCCAGTATTTCTTGCCTGGAAAATTCAACACAGAATCGAAAACAAAAGACTTACCATTAAAATGAGTTTTTGATACTTTTGTTTTAGGTCTGACACACTTGCAGATGGGTCTGCTTCCAGAATGCTGTACCAATCCTTTTTTGGTATCTGCTCAAACGCCATCATCCCTTGAACAAGAAGTGGTCCTTTTCAGATCAGCGGAATAGAAATGTTGACGACAATTCATTACAGTTTGTGTATATCTGGGAAATAACTAGGTACAGCTTCCCTAAGTTCTGTAACATTAAGTCATGGTACTAATGCAAGCCTGAAAAAGCAATTATTTTCATTTGAAACGCCCCAAGAATTTCACGTTTAAGTATACAGAAAAGTGTGGGAAAATCTGTTAGATTTTTCATGATATACGCTTATATCTTAAATGAACGAATATACAACAGCGTAAGAAAAAAAATTTTTCGATAGTGAACCCGAGCGGTGGATGACTCTTTAAGAAAGGTGTTTCTGCTAGTCTCTTGGTAAAAGGGACACACAGTTAAGTACTCACTAAACACACTAGAGTTTAATAAGTGTTTATAAAATGAACAAATATTCTTAAAAAGCAAAACGAGGAATTAAAGTCAATTTGGGAGCATTTCCTCTTAATATCTTCAGTTCACTTCTTGTCTTTCAGGTTATCTTCAAAGAATAACATGCCAAAAGCCAGTCAGCACTGGCAGGTGGAGAGCAACAACCCCTCAATTACTGGACAGGCACTCAGACCTCGCAAAGAGCTCCTGAAACTGTTCAAGGGAAGACGTGACAGCCCTCTCGAACCGAAGAGAACCCGCCAGAAGCCGCAGAACCAGGCAACTTCTTCCCACAGCCGCAAACTCAACGAGACATCCGGGGCTTCCTCAAAATTGGGACTCGGAAATCCACTGCACTCATGGTGCGCTGTGTCGCCCAGTCACAGACTCGTACCCTCTCCCGGATCCACTCGATCGCAAACTTACCAACACTAGAGCCACTAGAGCCCACTCCGAGCCTGCATTCTGCCAAACCTCGGAACCAGCTTCTGCTTCCGCCGGAAGTCACTGCCCTAACGCAGTCAAGTTTCCAGCCGAGCCACAATGGCGAGGGCACCGATCGGAAGCGCCGCTCCGCCCTCTGGACGCGGTCGCTATGGTAACCCATTCGCCTCTACCTCAGGAGTTTACCAACAGTAAGTGCGGGCGCGGTGGGAAAAGGCTTCCTTCGCCTCGTTCTAACTCGCTGTTGTCCTGGCTCTCAGACTGTCGTTTCTCTCCTCTTTCTCAGCGAGTACCCCCAGCACCCCCCTCCAAGCTTCCTCCGCCTTCCCCAAAACCCCCCACATAACCTACCCACTGCAGCTCCTTGTCCTTTCCCGGTTGACGAGTGCAGTACCCTGACGGGGGATGAGGGGTGGGGGGCTACGGTGGGGGTACTATTGGGATTAGAGCGGGTGGGGGTCGATGAGAAGGGTGACAAGAACTGATTCCAGAAAGAGATGTTCTTTTAGATTTTACTTTAGTGGGTAGCCATGTCCTTTTCAAGGGGATCTTCCCAACCGAGGGATTGAACCCAGGTCTCCCGTACTGCAGGTGAATTCTTTACCATCTGAGACACGAAGGTAGCCCAAGAATATTTTAGTAGGTAGCCTAGTCTCTCTCCAGGGGATCTTCCCAACCCTGGAATCAAACTGGGATCTCCTGCATTGCTGGCAGATTGTTTACCAGCGAACTGCTTTTTGGAAGAGATGTTCAACTTATTTCTTTTAGACTTTAGAAACCAACTTGAAAAATGAAAACTTTTCAAAGTCCTTTCACACTCTTAGCAAGTCTTCCTATTCGCAGGGCAGCAATGACATCGTTCAAACTCACAGAAAAAGCAAAATAAAACGCTCACTTTGAGGTAGTTATTGGGCACTCCAAATGGGCACTTTCCTCTCCCTGTCATTCGTCCTGTTGTTCCCTTTTACTGTCAAATCTCTGTACTGCTCACCTTAGATTTGTTGCAGAGAAGCCAATTCTGATACCATGTTCATACTGTTTCTTTGACTTATTTTCACTGCTTCTGTTATTATCGTACAGAATGATGGCCAGCCTTAAAGAATACTGCCCCTCTGCCTGACCGTTAAACTAGAGTGCCTTTGTTCAGAACCCTGTCCACTTGTAGCTGGCAGGAAGGAAGAAATTAACAAAACCTCTGCCTGAGGTTTGCCATTCTGGGAGATGTTTGCAATATTAATGGCTTTTTTAACTTTGCCTCCTCACCTTCCCCCATGTCTGATCTATAAAAGAACCTGGCATCCAGACCCTGTAAGATGGTTATTCTGAGGTGCTAGCCTGCCATCTCCATCAGCTGGCTCCCCAATTACAGTCTCTTCCTTGCCTCAACCTCTCATCTCTTGGATTGGTGCCTGTTTGTGGCAAGCAGAGCGAGCTTGGACTCGATAACATATTGACTATTCTTTCTTGCATTTTACCTGGAGGTCAAAACTGTGTCTTTATTCTCCACAGCGTGATATAAATTTCACTTGGAAATGTTAAGGTAGTTTTGTTGATGTTACTCCTTAGATTTATTTTCCTTTTTTTTTTTAATCTTCTACCAAATATCCATTTGAGAAGCAGTTGAGACAAACCCTAAGCACACTGAAAAAGATACTTTGATAAGGTCAGTCATTTATTGATGGTTCCCTGGTAGCTCAGCTGGTAAAGAATGGATCTGCAATACAGGAGACCAGGGTTTGATCCCTGGGTGAGGAAGATCCCCTGGAGAAGGAAATGGCTACCCACTCCAGTGTTCTTGCCTAGAGAATTCCATCGACAGAGGAGACTGGCAGGCTACAGTCCATGGGGCCACAAAGAGTTGCACACGATTGAGCGACTTTCACCAAACTATAACTGAATAACTGAATGATACAGAAAAGTTTAAAAATCTAAAAGGAAAAGTATAGTTTAGGTTCTTCATAGGATTTTGACATGTTTAAAGGCAGACACAGTCACCTTTATATCAATACTAAGTGAGAAGATCTGATTTTCATGCTTGGTTCCAACATTCTGTGTGGCCCTAAGTATACCTGAAATGACAGAACTGTGTTATTCTGAAGACCTTCTTATACAGTACTATCAGAATGGCACCACTTTAAATTTCTCTGGCCCTCAAACTTCCTTTTACCACCGCATAGATGTTCTTTGTATAGATAATTATACTCAAGCCCTTCAGTTTTTTATAGAAAGAGCACTTTATTTTGATTTATGATTGTATTAATGTATCGTGTTATCTCTTTTACTGCTTTTTTGAACAAAATTCTAATCATAGTATCTCAACTTTCATGTATTTATTTTTTTATATAGAAAGAGGTACACTTTTTTGTCCCCACCAAATCCCATGTGTTCTGTCATTTCATAATAACATATTTTAGTTTACATATGTAAAGCATACTTTAGTTTGCAACTTTTTATCTCATCTCCATTAAGTCATTAGTCCTCCAAAATTACCAGTAATTAATTGATATTATCCAAATCTAGTGCTTGTTTACATTTCCCTAATTGTCTCAGAATTGTCTTTTTATGGTTGGTTTGCTTGAGTCAGAAACCAGAATCTACACAGTGCATTTGGTTATTCTCTCTTAAATATCTTTTAAGCTATAGCAGTCCCAATACTTCACTACTACCTTTTTTCCCCCTTTTTTTCTATTAGTTTATTGAAAAAACAGATCAGTTGTCTTAAAATCTGAACTTATCTGTTTATTTATATCAGAATCCACTTTTATTTTTTTTTTTTTATTAGTTGAAAGCTAATTACTTTACAATATTATAGTGGTTTTTGCCATACATTGACATGAATCAGCCATGGATTTAAATGTGTTCCCCATCCCGATCCCCCCTCCCGCCTCCCTCCTCATCCCATCCCTCTGGGTCTTCCCAGTGCACCAGCCCTGAGCACTTGTCTCATGCATCCAACCTGGGCTGGTGATCTGTTTCACCCTTGATAGTATACTTGTTTCAATGCTATTCTCTCAGAACATCCCACCCTCGCCTTCTCCCACAGAGTCCAAAAGTCTGTTCTGTACATCTGTGTCTCTTTTTCTGTTTTGCATATAGGGTTATCGTTACCATCTTTCTAAATTCCATATATATGTGTTAGTATACTGTAATGGTCTTTATCTTTCTGGCTTACTTCACTCTGTATAATGGGCTCCAGTTTCATCCATCTCATTAGAACTGATTCAAATGAATTCTTTTTAATGGCTGAGTAATATTCCATGGTGTATATGTACCACAGCTTCCTCATCCATTCGTCTGCTGATGGGCATCTAGGTTGCTTCCATGTCCTGGCTATTATAAACAGTGCTGCGATGAACATTGGGGTGCACGTGTCTCTTTCAGATCTGGTTTCCTCGGTGTGTATGCCCAGAAGTGGGATTGCTGGGTCATATGGCAGTTCTATTTCCAGCTTTTTAAGAAATCTCCACACTGTTTTCCATAGTGGCTGTACTAATTTGCATTCCCACCAACAGTGTAAGAGGGTTCCCTTTTCTCCACACCCTCTCCAGCATTTATTGCTTGTAGACTTTTGGATAGCAGCCATCCTGACTGGCGTGTAATGGTACCTCATTGTGGTTTTGATTTGCATTTCTCTGATAATGAGTGATGTTGAGCATCTTTTCATGTGTTTGTTAGCCATCTGTATGTCTTCCTTGGAGAAATGTCTGTTTAGTTCTTTGGCCCATTTTTTGATTGGGTCATTTATTTTTCTGGAGTTGAGCTGGAGGAGTTGCTTGTATATTTTTGAGATTAATCCTTTGTCTGTTGCTTCGTTTGCTATTATTTTCTCCCAATCTGAGGGCTGTCTTTTCACCTTGCTTATAGTTTCCTTTGTTGTGCAAAAGCTTTTAAGTTTCATTAGGTTCCATTTGTTTATTTTTGCTTTTATTTCCAATATTCTGGGATGTGGGTCATAGAGGATCCTGCTATGATTTATGTCGGAGAGTGTTTTGCTTAAGTTCTCCTCTAGGAGTTTTATAGTTTCTGGTCTTACATTTAGATCTTTAATCCATTTTGAGCAGAATCCACTTTTTAAAACACTTTTTACAGGAATCCTTGTTCATTAGTCTTCCTTCATTTTTTTTCTTTTTTAGAGCCCTACTGTTCAGTGGAAATACAATGTAAGCCACAAATGCAAACCACACATGTGATTTTAAATTTCCTAGTAGCCATATTAGAAAAATAAAAAGAAACAGGTGAAATGATTTTAATAATATATTTATTTACCAGTGTATCCAGAGTATGCTCGTTTCAAAATGTAAATAATACAAAAGTTATTAATGAGATATTTTACATTCTTTCTTTCATACTAAGTCTTCAAAGGCTGGTGTGCATTTTACCTATATAACTCATCTCAATTTGGACTCTCCACTTTTCAAGTGCTCCATAGCCATATCTTACTAGTGACTACTTTATCAATCACAGGTCTAGGGTATAAAGTCCAGCATTCCTCCCCAATATGATCCTAGTTTTCCAGCTTCATCACCTATTACCTTCATACATGAAGCAATTAAACAATTGAATATTTTCTTGGTATTTCATAATTTTATTCGGATGGGTCTCCTTGCTTATAACACCATAGCTCTTTTCTTCCTCCTACCAGTTTTACTCCTTCTTTAAGACCTATCTCTTCCGTCAAGTATGTTATGATGGCCCAATCCTTAGAAATTACCTTCTCCTCTCAGTTTTCACAGCAGTACAGGGTGTCCTCCTCTTTTGTACTTGTCCTATCCTACAGAGTATTGTTATACGCTTTAGAGGTGTGTTCTGATTTCCTAATTGCATTGTAAACTCTCTGAGTGTAAGAGCACCTCTCAGAGAAACTAAGCACCAGCTTTTATGCCACATTCTCTGGGGTTCTAAAGATGTATATCTATAATAGGTTTGTTTCTCACTGTTTTTAGAAGGTAATATATTTATTTTATGTAAAACCAATACAGTATAAATATAAACTATGTTAGCACAGTGGTTAAGAGCATGAACTCTGGGATCAGACTCATAGGTTTGAATCAAGATTCTGCCTCTTACTGGTTATGTGAAAACTTGAAGTTAATCTCTGCACCTTAGTTTCTTCCTCTGTAAAACTGAGATAATAATAGTATTGCCTTCAGAGGAATTTTTTGTGAGGATTAAATGAGGTAATGGTGTCTGA